ACAAATCTGGGTGCACTTGTGAGACTGTCTTTTGAATCTTTTCCAACCTAAACTACTCGATTATGCAACTTTATTTTGCGACCTCAGTTTTGACTCATTTAATTTTTTATAACGTGTCACTATCTAGGGACGGAAAAGTCCTTATTCTTTAGGTACTGTCCCATGATTATATATATGTATATACTATGTATGTGTAGTAAAAAAAAAAAGGAATGAAATGAGGAAAAAAAATCTATGAAGGAAAAAACTAGGTATATACGTACTATTTAAAAGAGGAAAAGTACATATAAGAGCTAGTAGGGTTTGGAAAAATGGTGGGGTTAGGAATAGTGAAAGGACAGTGGTGGTGAAGAAGAAAGGAGGAGGATTTTGTGTTTACCACAAATAAAGAGGAGATACATTAGGGATATGACAAGAAAACTGTCACATCTATAAGAAAATTTGATGAATAATTAGGTGACTTTGGTTAGTAATTAGATTCTTTTAGTTTTTTTTTTCTTTGTCTTGAACAAGAATATTTTTTTAATTTTGAAAGTAAACAAGAATATTAGTTAGCTTATTTCTTGGAGGTTGATATGAATAAATTAGGTGGCTCTAATTAGTATAAAGCTCTTTTTTTTTTTTTAAGGAGATATGAGTTTCTTTCCTTTTATAAAAAAAAAAGAATATTAGTTAGCTTATTTCAATTATGAGATGATTGTGATGTATCTTGTTTTATCTATTCGCAATTTATAGGATATCCGATATTGTATCAATAGGATGTTAAATTGTTATTATGGCTTTGAGTAAAAACATTAATACGTGTCTATTTAACTAATTATCTTGGAGAATTTTTTATTGAAAAACAAATGCATAATAATCTCAAAGAGAAAAAGGAAACAAAAAAAAGGAGATAATAGCCTAAAATAACACCGAAGGAATAGCCTAAAATCATATTCCTCTCACGCCTTTCCTTCTTTCTGTCTTTTAAAGTTCGTTGGAGAGCAGTTGTTAGTCGGAGTTCCAGCACTGTCTATGAACAAGTCGCAGGGCTCCCGCCTTGAGTTTTGGTTCTCTGACTTGTCTCATTGTGGACTTCTTGATGGTGGTGGTGGTAAGATGCGAGGTGTTTCTATTTGGGTGGATCGAAAACTGAAGGAAGCTTGGAAGCCTCGCGATTGGGTTGTGCTTACCGGCTCGTTCGCAGGTGGGTGGGTGAGAGCTCATAGAGTTTTCTTCCGCATGGTGGTGGTCTTCTTTTGGCTGTGGCAGCACCTCCTTCCGGCGACGATGGCAATGGCACATGCTACTCATGTGCTCCTGCTTGGCGGTGTCGTTTCGACTCCTTACGGGTCTCTCGAAGCTAACAGCCTTTTTTTTAGGGTTCCTTCACTTGCTGCCCTTTGCTTAAGGTGTTCGGCGTACATCGGTGTCCGAAGTTTTTTCCTTTTGTTTTATAGATCTAGTATGTGTATAATAACGGTGTTGTTATCACTGATAAATTTTATGTTTCTTCCAATAATAGATGTGGTCAGTGGTTTTCCCAACTTCTGGGTTTGTTATTTTGTCCCACCTGTTTGAGTTGTTTACTGATTATGGGGTGATGATGTCTGACTAGATGTGTATCTACGTTGTGTTGTTTATGCCTCTATTATTTGAGGTTAGGTCTTGGTCGATTGGTTTAATCCATTAACTGTAGTGTTTCTTTCAAACGAGTTTTTTTATGCTCGATTTTTTTTTTTTACAGTACAGGTTTTTTCTCATTGAGTATTGATGTTTGTATTCGTCTCTTGTGCTCCATCCGTCTTTATTAGTAAATTCAGTGAATGGTCAAGGTCGAATTCCCTTATAATGAGTGGTCACTTTTATTTATAACTGTTTTTATAATTTATTTATGAATTTATCCTTTTCTGGTAATTATGTTAGACTTAGCAATATTATCTTTCTGTAACTAATTAGAAGGATATTATAGCTAGCTTGGTATCTTAACATCTTATCGTGCAAATTGACCTACAAACGTCTTACATTCATATTACTAGCTAATTCGATAAGAATTTTTCACTTTAAAAAAGTAATTTGATAAGATAATTCTGTGATATCATGTCATATACCATTCTAGAACAATGGGAACCCTTTTTTACTCTCTCTTTCTCTCTGTGGCTATAATCATCTTTAGTTTTACTTCACAGCCACATTTTTTGTTGGTCACTGACTCACTTATAACATTTCAAAAGAATAAAGTAGTTTTTCACTCAATAACGCTTTTATTTCTACACGAGTTGTTTTCCACATTGCGTATAGCTTTTTGGATCAACCTCATCTCCGGAAGATATCCTATTTATAATTACAATATCTGCAAAATGAGAAGAAGAAAAGTCTGGCAAGTCTGGCCCAACAAAGCAAAAGCTGAAACGAAGAGTTCACCTATAAATTTGAGAGGAATAAAAGGGGGACTGATAATTAATGAAAATCACAATCAACTTTGAAAATAGTGAAGAGCCTCAACTTTCAGCCAAAAAAAAAAAAGAGAGAATAGAGAGAGAGAGATTTTAGGCTTACGTACAAAATTTATTACAAGCAATTTCAGTCAACATTAACTTAATTTGGTAGTGCCGTAAATTTTAAAAAAATTACTTTTAATTGTGCTGAAAAAAAAATATATATATTATAAAAAGTAGTTAAGTGTTTAGTAAATTAATAGCTGTGTACGTTTCAAAATCAGTATAATAGTGTTTGATAAATTATGAAGTTAAATTGTTGTGAATAATTAAAAATTATAATTATATTATATTATATAATAATATAATATATATAATTACAATTTAATATATATTATTATATTATTATATAATAAAAA